CGGCTCGCCACCTGTTGCAGGACTACAAGTTCCATCATGCCTCTGCAAGCCATAGGTGTAACTGTCAGTTTTGCAATGCCTCATGGGAAATGTAGTTCCACAACAGCTAGAGAGCCGCAGGTTGCCTACCCCTGGCCTAGAAGAAGCAGTGACATCATGGGGACAGTGGGGGTGTAGCGAAGTATCAAGGGACCGTGTCTGTGCATAGCAAATGTCTACTAGACTTTAGCACCACCACATTATTTATTTATTTCAGGTACTTATATAGCGCCATCAATTTACGCAGCACTTTACATATATATTGTACATTCACATCAGTCCCTAACCCTCAAGGGGCGTACAATCTAAGGGCCCTAACCCTCAAGGGGTGTACAATCTAAGGTCCCTAACCCTCAAGGGGTGTACAATCTAAGGTCCCTAACCCTCAAGGGGTGTACAATCTAAGGTCCCTAACCCTCAAGGGGTGTACAATCTAAGGTCCCTAGCTCACATTCATACATACACATACTAGGGACAATTTAGACAGGAATCAATTCACCTACCAGCATGTCTTTGGAGTATGGGAGGAAACTGGAGTACCCGGAGGAAACCCGCACAGGGAGAACATGCAAATTGGGATTGGAACCAACGACCCTAGTACTGCCAGGCGGAAGTGCTAACCATTTAGCCACTGTGAAGCCCACCACATGGGAAAGGGTCACTTTCTCGCCCCATAACTGGACAGGTGGAATATTTTGTACTGGCTGTACCAGGGGAAGGAGCGATAGATCATTGTAGGAGATATCAGTGCCTGTGTCAAGAAGCTATCCCTCCCCCCCACACCCCACTGTTATTTTGGCACTAATGGATAAGGTGACCGCATCAATCAGGGACTAGACTAGCTGGGGGATCAAGGTTTTCTAAACTTGTGTAATGTAGCCATCGTAGAGGGAACGCCAAGTCCTACTTCATAGGAATTCTTTGTGAGTAATGCTCCTACTGTTTGTCTGTGACATGAAACACAGAAGCGTTTGTTTAGATGCAGTGACATATTGCGATGCCTCTTGTTTTTTAATGTACCTTTCAGCAAACCTGCTGTACCCTTGGCATCCTTTCTTGATGTCTTCCCCTCGCCGTGCTTCTCAGTCAACCTTTTGATCAGCGCCTGCAGCGATCCTGCTTGTTGTGCGGAGAGAGCATACGCGGCTTTATATAAACACTGCCATCGGTGATCTCATCAGGTGGAGGATCTGGTGGATGTTGCTTAGTAAAGTCAACCTGTCAATTCAAATGAAGGACTAAGTGAATCATTCTAATTGAATAACGAGGGAAGGTAAAGAAAAAACGTAAAGCCGAAGTCCTCCTTTCACTTTAACCGCCTCCCGCCCGCCCGCCATATAGTAATATGAGGGACGCAAGGTGGTTCTCTCGTTCTGAGAGAACATCATATGACGTCCTTCCATTCTAACCGTGCATGCGTGGCTCCCGGAGTGCATAGCGCGGTGCTCTGTGTCCCTAGGACACAGCGGATTGCCGATCCACGGAAAGAGCCGAAGATGCCGGCTCGATCATGTGATCAGCTGTGTCCAATCACATGTAAACAGGGAAATGCTGGTTATCGGCATTTCTCTCCTCTCGGGCTGTCAGCCTCTATCCATTGAGTGGAGAGAGCAGGGACCGCCAGTGCAGCGCTGGATCAGGATCATGCTCAGATAAGTAAAAAGGGAGGGGCTGCACCCAGAAGGCTTTTTTTTTTTTTTTTGCTTTTTTTGTTGCATTCACACTTTTTTACTTGCTTGCTTTGCATGCTTTTTACTTGCTTGCTTTGCCGTAACATGTTTATTGTATGTATACAGCAATTTGTAGATTAGCTACTTGGGCGAGAAAACTTTTAATTTCCAAATCTAACAACCTTTTTGACCTGTTGCCCACATAATGCATATTTGCAGCAGCAAGGACACCGCACATACCGTATATACTCGAGTATAAGCCGACCCGAATATAAGCCGAGGTACCTAATTTTACCACAAAAAACTGGGAAAAACGATTGACTCGAGTATAAACCGGTGGTGTCAGTGGGGGGAGGAATAGTGCCCCATCGTTGGTGTCAGTGGGGGGAGGAATAGTGCCCCATCGTTGGTGTCAGTGGGGGGAGGAATAGTGCCCCATCGTTGGTGTCAGTGGGGAGAGGAATAGTGACCCCTGCTCCAGCCTGGGCTCGCTCGCTCCCTCCCTCTCCCATGGTACACACTTACCGGTCAGATGTCTTCCTTCTCCGGCCGCTCTCCTCCTCTTCACTCGCTCGATCTTCGCGGTGCCGCTCGGCTCCTCCTCTCCAAGCTCCACCTCCTCGCCGGTGATTGGGCGCCTGTGTGCCTCTCCTGAGCTACAGTTCCGGCGGCCAATCACCGGCGAGGATTGATCCCGGGGGTGTGTCCAGATGACAGGGACGGCATGTCATCCCGCCCACACCTGGAGACGTTGACTCGAGTATAAGCCGAGGGGGCCGTTTTTAAGCACAAAAAATGTGCTGAAAAACTCGGCTTATACTCGCGTATATACGGTATCTGTCAAAGCTTAATTTAAAAAGCTGAAGTTAGAAGCTGATTGGCTCCCATGCACAGCTGCATCAGATTTTGCATTCTCCAGTCTTATGCCGGCCATACACGGGTCGAAATCCGACCGATTTTTTTTCATCCGAAAATCGGACCTAAGAATAATCAGCCGTTTTTCGCTCTGTTAGTGGGTCAATGGCACCAGCCGATTTTCGTGGTTCCTCCCCTTTTCAGTGATCGGGCATGCTGGAAAATTTGTGAAAAACGACCAATTTTTGACTCCATGATGGTCAAATCATACGATCGTTTTTCCAAAAAGAATGTGCGCATGAGCCGTGACCTGAAAGGAACAGAAGTTTTCGCCTGTTACATAGGGTGAACTTTATGACTTGGTCAGCCGATTTTCAAACTCGGCACCATCGGATTACCGAGCCAACAACGTTTTTGATTTTCGGACGAAAAATCGTTCGGAATTCGACCCATGTATGGCCTGCATTAGTAAATCAACCCCAGTGTGTGTCACCGGCAGTATCACCAGGTGAAAAAAAATAAGCCTGACAATAGAAATCAAATGCAGCCACCACATATCAGGATGGATCTGCTGTAATATACTGTTGTGTTTGAGTTTTGATACACTTTAACCCCCCTGGTGGTATTCCCGAGTGTAGCTCGGGGTAAAGTTTCAGCACCAGAAGCGGTAACCCCCGAGCTACACTCAGGAATACACTGCAGCGTTGCTCCGGGATCCCTCCAGCACTTACCTTGTCCTGCGCTCCCGTGATGTCTCCCCTGCAGTGTCCCTTGCAATGTCCTCTGGCCGATGCCGGCATCCGTCTTCTGGGTTCCATTCCCTGCGACGTCGGGACGTACGGGGGACAGAACCGGCGGGAAATTTAAAAATGTTAAAAAGTGACATTCACTAAATACACTAAAATCTCATAGTATAACATTCCTGTATCAAACCATTTCACATACATTTTGTCCCGAGTGCTTTGTCCGGCGCCCTGCCTGCATTTTTACTGTTCTTTCTGCCTGGAAACTGAGAAACGTCCATGGCGTCCAAAAAGCGTCCCTTTAGGTCAAAAGCGGTTTTAGACCGGCTAGAGAACAGCGATAGTAAATCAGAACCACTTGCAGAATTGAGTGATAATGATTCGTGGGGGAAATTCCTCATCAGACACTGAAAACGATTCTGCGACTTTGCTCAGCGATGTGCGAACTTGGCGCTCTATTTCAAATTTCAGTGTTTTTGGTTTGATTATATTATTGAATTAAATTTAATATTATATTATTATTTTTTTATGATTATTTATTATATTATAATTTATGATTTCGTGTTTCAAGTTTTATCATACCCGGGATGTTTACTAGACTCTTGTTCGGACAGATTTCAGGGAGTTATTCCTAAAAATTACAGCCTACAATAAAAAAAAAATACATATTTCCATGCAAAAAAATGTACTGCTTTGAGCACAGAAATATGGACATAATCAGACCGCTAGGGAGGTTAAAACCCGTTGAAAGATATTGACCACGCGGGGGGTGCATTTATTTTTGATCAGTCGGCCGACTCATAGATTGCATTGCAGCAAATCACAGCTATATGTGTACTCAAAAGGAATGGCCCGATGAGCTGCTTGGAAAGATCCAAGGTTTTACTGAAGAAGACAAATACGTTTTGATAAAGTCCTAATTTTCATCTTTAGCGCTGGTGATCTCCTGCAACCTCTTACTGCCACTTCCTTTCTACATGCACACCAATGAAGCAATGGCAGCATGGCGTTTAGGTCAGGACGGGGGGGAGTTGTCAAAAGGGATCAGTGCATTCATCCTTGAATGTACACGTGGTTGAGAAGACGTCTTTGTTGAGAAGATGTGGGTTAAACGCCTCGTATTTTATACATCCACCAGCAGATTTTCTGCAGCTTGTCCTTGAATCCCTCCATCATGCTTGACAACACACTCTCCGTCGTCCCCGTGCCGTTGTATCCCTCTCATTATGCGGTCCTATTCCCGTCTACCTTTTGTCCTGGCTCCTCATAATGCTTCCTTTGGTTGTTGTTCGCACTTTCTTGCTAGCCATATACATTTTGTGGGAGCTGAGAGATAATCCATAGATTTCTCCATCCAGGCTAAACGGTGTTGCTGGACGAATCTCCTCTGCTGGTTAGTGCATACAGGTAGCTGTGGACACATACGACTGCCTGGGGGGGGCTCATTCACACTTGTGGCCGAGGGTCAGTAACAAAATAGGCAACTGAGCTGCGGTTTTACTGCCCCCCTCTAAACCCAACACAGCCACCGGAGGGTGTTGTGCACATTCTGCGGCAAAAATTGCTCTCTGTTATGCAGTACCACCACCGATCGCAACTTATTCAAGTGAATGGGGCTGTGCCACGACCGGCTGCAGTGCAATTGTGGGAGTTTTTAAAGGTTAAAGCAGACAGTGTGGAGGGAACAGAGCAGTACAGACAGTTCATATTTCAGAATAAGTGTCATCACAGGCTATCCCCTCTTCAGTCTATCATGAACGCTGCTGCCAGACTCATCCACCTTACTAACCGTTCCATATCTGCCATCTCTCTCTGCCAATCCCTCCGCTCAGTGTCCTCAATCCAATCTCTGCCAATCCCTCCACTGGCCTCCTCTCAGTGTCCTCCATCCCTCTGCCAATCCCCACTGGCCTCCGCTCAGTGTCCTCCATCCCTCTCTGCCAATCCCTCCACTGGCCTCCGCTCAGTGTCCTCCATCCCTCTCTGCCAATCCCTCCACTGGCCTCCGCTCAGTGTCCTCCATCCCTCTCTGCCAATCCCTCCACTGGCCTCCGCTCAGTGTCCTCCATCCCTCTCTGCCAATCCCTCCACTGGCCTCCGCTCAGTGTCCTCCATCCCTCTCTGCCAATCCCTCCACTGGCCTCCGCTCAGTGTCCTCCATCCCTCTCTGCCAATCCCTCCACTGGCCTCCACTCAGTGTCCTCCATCCCTCTCTGCCAATCCCTCCACTGACCTCCACTCAGTGTCCTCCACCCCTCTCTGCCAATCCTTCCACTGACCTCCTCCACTCAGTGTCCTCCACCCCTCTCTGCCAATCCCTCCACCGGCCTCCACTCAGTGTCCTCCATCCCTCTCTGCCAATCCCTCCACCGGCCTCCGCTCAGTGTCCTCCATCCCTCTCTGCCAATCCCTCCACTGGCCTCCGCTCAGTGTCCTCCACCCCTCTCTGCCAATCCCTCCACCGGCCTCCACTCAGTGTCCTCCACCCCTCTCTGCCAATCCCTCCACCGGCCTCCACTCAGTGTCCTCCATCCCTCTCTGCCAATCCCTCCACTGGCCTCCGCTCAGTGTCCTCCATCCCTCTCTGCCAATCCCTCCACTGGCCTCCACTCAGTGTCCTCCACCCCTCTCTGCCAATCCCTCCACCGGCTTCCCATTGCTCAATGGATAAAATTCAAAACATTAACAATAACATATAAAGCCATTTATAACTCTGCCCCAAATTACATCACCAATCTTGTCTCCAAATATCACCCAAACCGTACTCTCCGCTCCTCGCACGACCTCCTGCTCTCTAGCTCCCTTGTCTCCTCCTCCCATGTTCGTCCCCAGGACTTCCCCCATCCTCTGGAACTCTCTACCCCAATTTATCAGACTATCGCCTACTCTGCCCACTTTTAGGTGATCTCTGAAAACCTATCTCTTCAGGGAAGCGTATCCTGCCCTCAGCTAATAATGGAATCTTCTACTCCTCTACCAGTCCATCCCCCACAGTAATTACCTTTTGTACCACTAGCCCCTCCCTCCTAGATTGTAAGCTCCAAGGATCAGGGCCCTCCTATCCCTCTTGTATTGAACTGTGTTGTTGCTGTATTATCTCTCGTTATATTGTAAAGTGCTGAGCAAACTGTTGGCGCTATAAATCCTGTATAATAATAAATAATATATAAATCCTGTATAATAATAATAATAATAATAATATATAAATCCTGTATAATAATAATATATAAATCCTGTATAATAATAATATAATAATAATATATATAAATCCTGTATAATATAATAATATATATAAATCCTGTATAATAATAATATATAAATCCTGTATAATAATAATAATAATAATAATATATATAAATCCTGTATAATAAATAATAATAAATAAATCCTGTATAATAATAAAATAAATAATAATAATAATATATAAATCCTGTATAATAATAATAATGTTGCAGTCATGTGCACTGCTCTATAGACATTTCAGATCCCATAGTCCATCCTGGGAGTGAGCAAGAGAGGGTGGCTACATTCTACATATAGGGGAGAATGAATGTAGTCACCCTCTAACAGGAAGTTGGATCACAGAAGCAAAAAAGAAATGGAGGCTGAGAACATTAGAAGGTATTCTTTGAGTTAAAACGGAGTTCCAGCCATTTTTATGTTCATTAAAAGTCAGCAGCTACAAAAACTGTATGTGCTGACTTTGAATAAACGCACACTTACTTGTCCTAGGGTCCAGCAATGTGCTCACCCACGAGGTCCCTTCTCCCCTTCTTTCCTCCACGGTGCCGGCATCTCAACTGTGGGCACCAGGCTGTGACCGCTTGCGGCTTCACAGCCTGGTGCCCACTGCGCATGAGCGAGTCGCGCTGCACCTCGGTCCGGCAGTCTCCTGGGACATGTGAAATTTCCCAGGAGATTGTGGGATGGAGGAGGGGGCGGAACTTCTGGCTCACTTTGCCACGGCGAACTGAGCCGGAAGTGGGAGAGAGTATCTGGCAAACCCAGGTACCTGCTCCCCCCAAAAGGTGCCAAATATGGCAGTGGAGGGGGGGGGGGGGGAGCCAAACAAGCGGAGCTTGCACTTTTGAGTGGAACTCCGCTTTAAGGATACATACTTGAACGTAACCTGTATTTATTACCTCTCACAGAGATCACCATACCCCTTGCAACAATGCCGTTATCCGCTTTCCTGTTCAGAAGGACCGAGCCATCTTTGTTTGGGCATCATTCTGGATCAGCATCTACTTCCTGACGAGATACTGGCTCAGTCATGTGAATTATGGTGGCTGTGTTTACAAACGTCTCACACTGTTCAGCCTCTGCTTCAGCTTACCACCTTGTGACTTTCTACAAAGTTACACTGTACTGTCTATGTAAAGACCGGGGAGGGGGAATGAGAGAATATTTCTGCCTGCCTGGTGCAGACTCATGACGTCATCTCAGCCTAGGCAAAGTCACTGAGTGGAGCTCAAGGACAGATTTATATTTATGAAAGGTGGAACTTTGTTGCTGTAGATTTGTGATATGTTAGGATATTTTCAAGCAGATTTATACATTGCAGAACAGTCCAAATATGATGTATTTCATGGTTCTGTATTAGTGTCTATTATCCTTTTTGTTTTAATTTCTCTTGTTCCTGACCCTGGTCCTGAGTTTGGATACATTTATTTATTTATTTCAGGTACTTATATAGCGCCATCAATTTACTCAGCGCTTTACATATTTGTTTTGTTTTTGTTTTCCAAAATGTTCGGTCTCTTTTCGTTAATTTAGCAAACTATAATAAAATCCAGTGGTGAGTAACTTCTTAGCGCCAGCGCCTCCCGGCCCTTTAAGAGGGGAGGCGGGCGGGTTTTAGGGTCATGTGACCGCCGTGATTCACCGTCGGCGGTCACATGATCGGAAAAGGTCCCGATTGAAAGGGGAGATCGGGACCTTTCCATGAATCACGAACATATGTGCTGGGAGCGTGCAGGTCATCGCCATGTGACTGGGAGATGTTCATACCCCGACACTGGGTATTTTGGTCATAGTTGTCATAGAGGAAGGAAAAATTTTTAAGGAACAGTTCATAAAATCTACTGAAAATATAAATGCGTTTTCAGCTGGTAGTTTCTTGGAAATAAAGAAGGTTTGCTTGTGGATATTATCAAGATGCTGACTTTTCATCATAAGTTCATTGCAAAGTATTAGTATTATTATTATTATACAGGATTTATATATTATTATTATTATTATTATTATACAGGATTTATGGCGCCAACAGTTTGCTCAGCGCTTTACAATATAATGGGAGACAATACAGCAACGATACAGTTCAATACAAGAGGGATTAGAAGGCCCTGCTCCTTGGAGCTTACAATCTAAGAGGGAGTGGTGAATGGTACAGTAGGTAGTCACTGTGGGGGATGGAGTGGTTGGAAGAGTAGAGGATATCAGAATTAGCAGAGGGCGGGATAGGCTTCCCTGAAGAGAAAGGTTTTCAGTGATCGCCCAAAGGCAAGTAGAGTAGGTGATAGTCTGATAGATTAGGGTAGGGAGTTCCAGAGGATGGGTGACGCCCTGGAGAAGTCTTGGAGACGAGCATGGGAGGAGGAGATAAGGGAGCTAGAGAGTAAGAGGTCTTGTGAGGAGCGGAGTGTACGGTTTGGGTGATATTTAGAGATAAGATTGGTTATGTAAATTGGGCAGTGTTGTGGATGGCTTTAAATGTCATTGTTAGTGTTTTGAATTTTATCCGTTGGGCAACTGGGAGCCAGTGGAGGGATTGGCAGAGAGGGGTGGAGGACACTGCCAATCCCTCCACTGGCCTCCATTCAGTGTCCTCCATCCCTCTCTGCCAATCCCTCCACTGGCCTCCACCCCTCTCTGCCAATCCCTCCACTGGCCTCCACTTAGTGTCCTCCAGCCCTCTTTGCCAATCCCTCCACTGGCCTCCATTCAAAGAGGGCTGGAGGACACTAAGTGGAGGCCAGTGGAGGGATTGGCAGAGAGGGGTGGAGGCCAGTGGAGGGATTGGCAGAGAGGGATGGAGGACACTGAGTGGAGGCCAGTGGAGGGATTGGCAGAGAGGGATGGAGGACACTGAGTGGAGGCCAGTGGAGGGATTGGCAGAGAGGGATGGAGGACACTGAGTGGAGGCCAGTGGAGGGATTGGCAGAGAGGGATGGAGGACACTGAGTGGAGGAGTGGAGGGATTGGCAGAGAGGGATGGAGGACACTGAGTGGAGGCCAGTGGAGGGATTGGCAGAGAGGGATGGAGGACACTGAGTGGAGGCCAGTGGAGGGATTGGCAGAGAGGGATGGAGGACACTGAGTGGAGGCCAGTGGAGGGATTGGCAGAGAGCGGATACAGAACGGTTAGTAAGGTGGATGAGTCTGGCAGCAGCGTTCATGATAGACTGGAGGGGGGATAGCCTGCGATGAGGTCGGCCAATGAGGAGGGAGTTACGGTAGTTGACGCGTGATATGACAAGGGAGTAATAAGTTGCTTAGTGGTTTCCGGGGTTAGGAACGGTTGTATTTACACATCGGAAATATGTGTTTTTCGATGGTCTTAGGCAACCCCTGTGAAAGGGTCGTTCAACCCCCAAAGGGGCCACGACCCACAGGTTGAGAACCACTGTGATAGAGGAAGGAATGGCAGTGTAGGGTTGGAGAGGTGAATATATGTTGCCGTAATAGGCAAAGTGATGGTCTGCATAAAGATGCCCCCCTCCGTCTATTTTATTCTTGCCTTTCCAGTGTTCCATGGCATCTTCCATGACTGCCACTGCAGAATACCCAGTAGTTTGGGTTATGTGGAAGCATGTGACCACCTCCCGTCAAGCATTTGCTCAGACCTAGCGGCCAATCTCGAAGCTCCCAAGCACCTGTCACATGACTGAAGTGGTGACATCACAGGATATCTCGATGGCAACTGTGACATGGGTGGTGGTGGGGAGGGCATTGCCTTTACCAAGACTTTGTATGAACAAGGTAACAGGGTCTCTTTGAATGGTACACTGCTGCATTTTATGTACTCCTTTATCACCCTAACCTGTTTCCTTTCTTTTTCTCTTTCCTACAGGTGTGTGAGCTGGATATCATCTTTAACTTTGAGAAGGCCTACTTCATCCTGGACGAGTTCCTGATGGGGGGCGAAATCCAAGACACGTCGAAAAAGAGCGTGCTGAAAGCGATCGAGCAATCAGACATGTTACAAGAGGTGACAAGTTTTCTGAGTTCTCTCTCCTCTCACGTCCCCGGCCTCCATTAGTCTCTCTGCTCAGCTGTTCAGTTGGCTCTTTTTTTTCCTTTCCATTCTCTTTGTGTCTCCCTGCTCCCTCCTCCTTTTCTCTGCAGTGGATGAATCACACATCTCTTGTCCTGTCACAGCTCAGTGACTCCCACCCACTCACTTTCATCACAAGAAATTTCCACACTGGAGCAGGGGGGCGGTGGGGGGGGGGGGGGAGGGAGAGCTCGAGCATGTGTGGCGGGGAGATTATGGCTGTCTGAGCGGAGGGGGGCACAGATTTGGGGAAGGTGGAGGAGGGGGGATCAGGTGCACGCTGTGGAGTTCAATGATACGGAGAAAGTGGTTGAATGAAATGATGAATGGGTGGTAGGCGCCGAAGTAACAAGGGAGAGTAATGAGAAGGCAGAATGGAGGGAAGGAGGGGGCTGAATTATATGGGGGGGGGGGGGGGGGTGCAGAGATTATAGCTGTTCTGAGGATTTTGGGTAATAGAAGCACCTGGCGATAGTGATGAAATTTTATACATTCGAGTTTACCTACCTGCACTCAACAAAAAGGGAAAAAGAAAATCTTTGTATTAAGTTGATGTATTTATTGCTGTGATGTTGTTAAAGAAAACCATCGGAGTGCAGTGACCACTCTCTGGCAAAGGTGCAGGCTTCGGGGCTGTGGTCATGATCTGCCATCACTAGCTGGCAAAGTAAAAGCAGAAGAGTGCAGACAATCCAGGAACTGCCAAGTAGCCATGGCGCCTTCCCTTTTTATCCTCACCGGCTCCTTTTAAAGTTGACCGATGCTCTAAACCAGGGGTGGCCCTCCAGCTGTTGGTGAACTACAAGTCCCATCATGTCTCTGCCTTTGGGAGTCATGCTTGTAACTGTCAGTTTTGCAATGCCTCGTGGGACTTGTAGTTCTTCAACAGCTGGAGGGTCACAGTTTCCCACCCCTGCACTAAACCTAAAGTGATTGTAAAGGAGCAATATTTTTGTTTTTATAGAAAATACGTTCTACTTACCTGCTCTGTGTAATGGTTTTGCTCAGAGCGGCCCCAATTCTCCTCTTCTCAGGTCCTCTGCCTGCGCTCCTGGCTTCCCCCCCCCCCCCCCCCCCCCGCTGAGTGCCCCCATTGCAAGCTGATTGCTATGGGGGCACTCGTGCGTGCTTATTCTCAAGCTGCGCTGCATGTGTCCGTAGATGCACAGAGTGCGGCTTGGCCCCTCCCTCCTCACTGGCTGTGATTGACAGCCTTTGGTTCCCACTGCTGTCTCTTCGCTAATGAGGAGGCCGAGAGAGCCGCTGCTCTTGTGCACAGCGTTGGATTGAGATCGGGCTAGGGCATATTTAAGGGGTCCTGGGGTAGGGGGCATGCAGAAGTTTTTTTTTTTTTTTTTTTTTTTTTTGTTTTTTTTTTTTTTTTTTTTTTACCTTAATGCATGCAGTGCATTAAGGTAAAAAGTCATTAGAACTTCTTTAAAATAGTAAAAAGGTTTATACTTACCTGCTCTGTGCAATTAAATCGCACAGAACGGCCCCCGAAAATCCTCTTCTTGGATACTCTGCTGGAGCTCTTGGCTCCTCCTCAGTGGTACCCTATAGGAAAACACTTCCTATGGGGGGGGGGGGGGTCCACCTCCATACTCGGTTCTGATCCCAGATATCTGCACTTATAGACACAGACATCTGGTCTTGGCCCCACCCCTTCACTCGTCACTGGCTTTGATTCACAGCAAGGAGAGTCAATGGCTCCTGCTGCCGTCGCAAAGCCCATGAGACCTGGAAGAGACAGCGAGAAGAGCTGCAGACATACACACTGCTGGATTTAATAAGGGCTCAGGTAAGTATAAGGGGGGGGGGGGCGATTATCAATGCTAATCATGCATTAAGGTAAACAAAATGTTTAAGTGTAATAACCACGTCCTGTATAATTATGTTTAGGGTTTAACCTGTTCCCGCCTGGCCAATAGCAAAATGAAGGCTGAGCGGGACTCTCGTCCATCCGGGTGGACATCATATGACGTCCCGGATCACACGTGCCCACGGTTCCACGCTGTGGCGAGATCGGTCACCTGTTGTGTACCTCGGACACAGTTGATGACAGATCAATGTACCGGCTTGTTGCCAGTACCATGTGACCGCTGTGACCAATCAGAAAATTCTTTGCTGAAAGCAATCATCGTGTAAAAAGAAAAAAACTACTGATCACTTCCCCAGAGTAGTACAATATTACTATGGTAACATTATGCACTGTGCAAAAAAAAATGAAAGGAACAATTTTTAATCAGAGTATAGTGTCAAGTCAGTGAAACTCCTGGGATATTGATCTGGTCAGGTAAGTAGCAGAGGGGGGCTGGTAATCAGTTTTAGCTGCTTTGGTGTTAATGACATTAACAACTGGTGCAGTAGGTGGGCAACAATGAGACAACCCCCAAAACAGGAATGGTTTTACAGGTGGAGGCCACTGACATTTTTTTTCCCCATTCATCTTTTCTGACTGTTTTTCTCTAGTTTTGCATTTGGCTAGGGTCAGTGTCACTACTGGTAGCATGAGGCGAATCCTGGACCCTACAGAGGTTGCACAGGCAGTCAATCTCCTTCAGGATGGCACATCAATATGTACCATTGCCAGAAGGTTTGCTGTGTCTCCCAGCACAATCTCAAGAGCATGGAGGGGATTCCAGGGGACATGTATTTACTCTAGGAGAGCTGGACAGGGCCATAGAAGGTTCTTAACCCATCAGCAGGGCCAGTATCTGCTACTTTGTGCAAGGAGGAACGGGATGAGCACTGCCAGAGCCCTACAAAATGACCTCCAGTAGGCCACTGGTGTGAATGTCCTTGACTAAACAATCAGAAACAGACTTCATGAGGGTGGCCTGAGGGCCCGACATCTAGTGGGTCCTGTGTTCACTGCCCGGCACCATAGAGCTCGATTGGCATTTGCCATTGAACAGCAGAATTAGCAGGTCCACCACTGGCACCCTGTGCTTTTCACAGATGAGAGCAGGTTCACCCTGAGCACATGTGACAGACGTGAAAGGGTCTGGAGAAGCCATGGAGAACGTTATGCTGCCTGTAACATCGTTCAGCATGACTGTTTTGGTGGTGGGTCAGTGATGGTCTGGGGAGGCATATCCATGGAGGGACACACAGACCTCTACAGGCTAGACAATGGCACCCTGACTGCCATTAGCCATCGGGATGAAATCCTTGGACCCATTGTCAGACCCTACGCTGGTGCAGTGGGTCCTGGGTTCCTCCTGATGCACAACTATGCCCGGCCTCATGTGGCAAGAGTATGCAGGCAGTTCCTGGAGGATGAAGGAATTGATACCATTGAATGGCCCCCAAGCTTTCCTGACCTAAATCCAATAGAACAGCTCTGGGATATCATGATTCAGTCCATCAGACGCCGCCAGATTGCACCTCCGACTGTCCAGGGCTCAGTGATGCCCTGGTCCAGATCTGGGAGGAAATACCCCAGGACACCATCCATCGTCTCATTAGGAGCATGCCCAAACGTTGTCAGCCATGCATACAAGCACGTGGGGGCCATACAAACTACTGAGAACCATTCTGAGTTGCTGCAATTAAATTTCACCAAAATGGACTCGCCTGCTGCATCATTTTTTCACTTTGTTTTTCGGGGTGTCTTTGAATTCAGTCCTCTGTAGGTTGATCATTTCAATCAAACAATGGGGCATCCTTACGTTCCTCACATATCACCCCGTCCATATCAGTATAGATATCTGGCACAATATTTTTCCCCATTGAAATCTAATGTGTTTTCAAAGGGTTCCTTTAATTTTTTTGAGCAGTGTAGTACTCTAGTCAGTGTTTATGAAAAAAAAATCATTGAAAAAAGTTACAAAAAATGTAATAAATATAAAATTGAACAAAATTTTTTATTTTTTTTTACTGTCACCAGTCAGTGTCCCTGATCACCACCACACTAGTTATACAATGTACTTGTGTTTTTTTTATTTTTTCAGTTTTCAAAAAAATGACAAAATTACAACTTCAAAAAACTCGCCATGCCTCTTACTAAATACCTCAGGCTGTCTACTTTGCAGAAAGGGGTCATTTGGGGGATATCTGTACTGTACATTTGATATCTACCGTCCTGACATTTGGGGGATATCTGTACCGTCCTGACATTTGGGGGATATCTGTACTGTTCTGACATTTGGGGGATATCTGTACTGTTCTGACATTTGGGGGATATCTGTACTGTTCTGACATTTGGGGGATATCTGTACTGTTCTGACATTTGGGGGATATCTGTACTGTTCTGACATTTGGGGGATATCTGTACTGTTCCTGACATTTGGGGGATATCTGTACTGTCCTGACATTTGGGGGATATCTGTTCTGACATTTGGGGGATATCTGTACTGTTCTGACATTTGGGGGATATCTGTACTGTTCTGACATTTGAGGGATTCTGACGTTTGGGGGATATCTGTACTGTTCTGACATTTGGGGGATATCTGTACTGTCCTGACATTTGGGGGATGTCTGTACTATTCTGACATTCTTGGACCTCAAGAAATTAGATTGGCTGTCAGTACTTCAGGATTGATCAATATTCAGATCTATACCATAGTTTGTGAACTCTATAACTTTCCTACAGACTAAATAATACATCCTAATTTTGGTTATTTTCACCAAAGACATGTAGCAGAATACATCTCGGCCTAAATTTATGAAGAACAATTATTTTTTTGCAAAATTTTATTGTTTTGTTTTTTTTTTAAAAATGTTCGGTCTCTTTTCGTTAATTTAGCAAACTATAATAAAACCCAGTGGTGAGTAACTTCTTAGCGCCAGCGCCGCCCGGCCCTTTAAGAGGGGAGGCGGGCGGGGCTTTAGGGTCATGTGACCGCCGTGATTCGCTGTCGGCGGTCACATGATCGGAAAAGGTCCCGATCGAAAGGGGAGATCGGGACCTTTCCATGAATCACGAACAT